TTTAATTCGTACAGCGACTGTTGCAATCGCAAAGCGTCACAAAAATAACAATTCGCAATATCTGTTTGATTAGACACCCACATCATATATCCGTTCGATGAGACTATGGCGATAAAGCGGTGCATCTGCATATCACAGGAACGGTGACGGTATATCCTTTCGATTAGTCCTTGGTTTATGATAATCAAAGTGTTACAAATTGTCACCCATACGTTTCGCAATATCTTTTTGATTAGACGCTGACGTTATATATCAGTTCGATGAGACCGTGGCGATACAGTGGTGCATATCGCGGGAAAGTTTCCGATTTGAACGGTATAAATACATCGTTAAAACGTACGAGACCTGTCAAAGTCATACAGAATTTCAAAGTGCGCGGTTTCAAGTTGTAAAAGTATTGAAGCGTCGTCTGTTCACACATAATGGATCAACTACATGACTTAATGGTCCTGACAGATGCTCTGAACACCACTGTGACGGAGTTCACCGAAAACGTGGAAACTCTATCGGGAATGGTGCGAGAGATATATAAGGATCTCGAACGTTTGGAAACGACCATGCCCAAGTTCGTGACATTAGAGGTGCACATACGAGTGCACGACACGATGTTTGCAACATTGTAAGTATACATCGTTTTTTTCGTGTAATTATACAGTGTATTTATGTACCATATTCGTGTGGTTTCAGAAAACAAATATTTACCTTTATCAAGGAAATGAATATGCCCTTGAAAGACTATGTACGACGATTATCTGATGTGCGTGGGGATATGAATGAAACAAGAGTGAAGAAGGCAAAGCCAAGTGGATCTGTGTAAGTAAGAAATGGTGTTTTCTATTTTCAACACTGTATGTAACAGAGATGTGTACGTTTGTGTTTCAGATGAAAGAGAGAGAGATAACCGTACCCAAGAATGACAAAGAAATATATCAATCTATTACAATATATAACTATAAATAAGATAATGATGTACACAGTACACAGTAGTAGCAGCGGTAGTATTAGGCGAGATCGACAGACATAAAGCTAACTGTAGCATTGAAAGGATAAGGAGATAATGACTTATACATAGAAGCATAATTGTATACAATTCTATCACTTCGAGCTTTCTATGGTATTTTTTCGCAGTTTTTGTAAAGGTGCTTCCATTAGGAGATACTGACTTATACATACAAGCATATAATTTATTCTATGTTTCATTGTATAAGGCAGTATCTCCTAATCGAAGCATACCTGTCCTTTACAAAAAATGTAGAAAATACCATAGAAAACTCAAAGCGACAAAATTGTATACACTTATATGTTTCCATGTATAAGGCAGTGTCTCCTAATCCTTTCAAAGCAACATTTAGCTTCATGTCTGTCGATATCGCCTAGTGCTGCTACTGCTACTACTAGTACCTGTCATATCAAATGTAACCGTATATAAAATAACAAAATGACACGAAATAACCGTACCCAAGAATGACAAAGAAATATATCAATCTATTACAATATATATATAACTATAAATAAGAATTAATACACAGTACACAGTAGTAGCAACAGTAGTATTAAGCGAGATCGACAGACATAAAGCTAACTGTAGCATTGAAAGGATAAGGCGATAATGACTTATACATTGAAGCATAATTGTATACAATTCTATCACTTCGAGCTTTCTATGGTATTTTTTCGCAGTTTTTGTAAAGGTGCTTCCATTAGGAGATACTGACTTATACATACAAGCATATAATTTATTCTATGTTTCATTGTATAATGCAGTATCTCTTAATGGAAGCATACCTGTCCTTTACAAAAAATGTAGAAAATACGATAGAAAACTCAAAGCGACAAAATTGTATACACTTATATGTTTCCATGTATAAGGCACTGTCTCCTAATCCTTTCAAAGCAACATTTAGCTTCATGTAGCTGTCGATATCGCCTAGTGCTACTGTTGCTACTACATATACTGTGTGTAAGAAATGTGCTCTATCTGTATAAGCGACGCAGAGTGTACATCTATAATAAATAACATGAAAAGTATATACGACTGTATTCCTTTAATATAAGTGTTTGCCCTATACAGGGTGATTCAAAATAGGTATAGTGTCCCTGAAATGTCGTATTCCTGATTAAATTCTAAGACGATTTTTCTCTTACCAAAATGTTCTCCGAAGCTTAGTTTTTGAATTATTCAAAGAAATAGTCAGCGAATAACTGGCCGAGTACAAGAGGCAGACAGGAGCGGCGCACCGCCGCGGCGCCCGGCGGCTCACGCGGGGCGGTCAGCTGAGCGATCAGCTGCAGCGTTGCACACGCACATC